TACAGTCAACGACAATGCTTTCCACAACCTCATTACGCAGGGAGGCATGGCACCCCGCTGCTTTGCTCTCACAGATCAAGGCTTCGGCCAAGCTGTTGCAGCAGCTCCATCGCTGCTTCTCAATGGGACAGAAGTTCCTGCGAATGAAGGCGGCCCCATTTTGTTCCGTGATGACTATGTGGAATACTTGAAGAAGAAAGGCATTGACACTGAATACTGGAGACAGGTTTCTCAACTATACAAGATCTATTTGCGCTTTGTCCTCGGCTACTTGGAGTGCTATTATCCAAAGAAGGAGGACCTCACCAAGGACAAAGACATGCATGCCTTGGTGAGACAGTTTTTCTTCCAGCTGGAAACCGCCCCACCGAACATGCTTGGGGCTACTGGAGACTTCACTTTGTCTCACTATGCAAAGGGAGTGGACGATACGTACATGTTCTATGCGAAGTTCTTGGCGCAGATCATGTTCTTTGCAACACGGCACTTTTTAGACTTGCTCGGTTGATAACACCTTTTTGAGTTGCGACGTTAGTACAGATCAGTTAGCTGTTGCTAGGATTACATTGGAATCATCTAGGGGTTGGTTGATTTCCAGTGTATGGGTCAAATGCAGGGGTATCATTTCCTGCGGCTTCCACAAGCATTTTGAAGCCTGTCTTTGCCAATGCTTTGTCGTCGTAGCAGCTCCCGACCATGAGCTGAAGACTTCAGGTGACTGCCGGTCATGAGCAGGCAGGCGGAGTTGAAGTCTATGCGCAGGATGCCTCATGGACTGCTTTCCGATGGACAATTGGTTCAACAGTAGGCACCAAGCAGCTCCTTGGCAGTAACATGCAGTGGTGGTGGTGTCAGCGTCGGCGGATTTTTCTTTCTGTGGGGCGTCTTGTGGTGAAACCATGTGCTTTGCAGGGGTGCCACAGCCACTGCTTTGCTCATGTCCTTCACAAACTTGCCACAGCCCAAGTTCCTCAGGCTGCATTTAGTTTTCTGCACTAGTTGAGCGCCAGTAGACAGCGCTGATGTACCAGTGGCCGTCAGCAGCATTCTTCGACAGGCTGATGGGCGATGATTGGACGCACCTGTTTCCAGCAACACCAGCAGGTACCACAAAAAGACCAGCTGCTGTCTTTGAGAAGTTGCTCGGATTAATGCTAGTTCTTTCGCTCAGGCTGAGCTCTGGCAGCAGTCTGTTAGCAGCCTGTTCTTGAAGTTCTTCTCTCAAATCTCGTCCATGGACGAAGGTTTCAGGAAGAGCTGAAGGCTATGTCCCAGCAAGTGGACGCGTACAATGCTGCTTCGTCCTCGAGGCCATTTCCAGAGA